AAGGAAGGAAGGAAGGAAGGAAGGAAGGAAGGAAGGAAGGAAGGAAGACTGGAATGGAGGGAAGGGCAGAGAAGAGAAGAGGGGAAGGTGGCAGGAAGGAAAGAAAGAAGAAAGGGTACAGCAAAAAAAAGGTAAAAAAGTTTTTTCACACATAGGACCCGTGCAGCATCCCCACGGTTATGTGATCAACACTCATGTGCTTGGCAACTCACGTGACTCATATTTATGACGGTCGCATTGGCCCCCCGGGGTCATGAGGACTACCTGTCGGAAACCTCACCTTTCATTCTCGCGCTTTTCCTTCCCTGGGGTCTCACTCAGAGACGCAGAATCTTTTGCGTGGTCGTCCTTAATCGTTGGGGTTTCCTGGACGGAAGTGGGGAGACAGGAGGAGGGAAGACTTGCGTCATTAACCACATACAGATATCCCTCAACTTATACCGTGTCTCCCCCCAGAATAAGACAGGGTCTTGTATTAATTTTTTGCTCCAAAAGACACATTAGGTCTTATTTTCCAGTTGGGTCTATTTTCACGGGAACAAGGTACAACTGTTCATTTAGTGGGCATTCGAAGTTACGACGGCACCAAAAAAAAGTGACCTGGACCACCGACCCCCCTCCATTCACGATGGTTGCAGCGTTCCCCCCCCACGGTCATGTGATCAAAATCCGGAGGCTTGGCAACTGGCATGTACTTATGATGGTTGCGTCGTTCCTGGGGTGGGGGCAGGTCATGCAATTCCCTTTGGCGATCGTCCGTTGTGCAAAAGTGAAAGGGGAAACTCAACAACAGTGTTCCCAATTGAACAGCTGCAGTGATTCACTTAACAACCAGGGCTAGACAGGGTGTAAAACCGGGGGACTATCTATCGTCTCAGAGTCTCCAAATAGTGGGAGACCTTGGGTTCACACCTCTTAAAATTACACAACATTCTATCTTGTCACCGTTCCTCAAAATTGAACCGAAGGCAAATCAGGTTTTTCAAGAAAGACACAGCAGCACTCTGCGGTTTCGGGACTACATTGTCGTTGGTTTTCTCAAGGTGGCCGAAATGCATCCAAAAATGGAAGATCTAGTAGATCCGTGTTGTTGTTGTTTTTTAAACCCGCCCTCTTGAAGAGGTATGGACTTCAACTCCCAGAATTCCTCAGCCAGCAGGAATTCTGGGAATTGAAACCCACAGCTCTTCAAGTTTCCAAGCTTTGAAATCACCAAGGAATCCAATTTTCCGTAGGCGAGAAACCCACTTCTCCAGTTCCGCCCCTCTTCCCTGCCGAGCCATCAAATCCAACCGATTCTTCCACAAAGACATTTAAAATAGCAGAATGTACATCTTCTAGGCTGGAAAATATCCAGTGTGATAGTCAGAGGGGAAATTAAAATCCACAGGGGATTAGACAGGAAAGTCCTTAGCAGAGGTTGTGAAAAGGAACCCCCCCCCCCAAAAAAAAAATGCTTTTCTGATTCTGGATAGGAATTTTAAACTCAGTTTGGTACGAGGCACCCCCAAAATGGCAGCGTTGTGCAATAAAAGAGGGGAGCCTAATGGAATCCAGGTATGATTAGAAGAGAATATTGCCAGTATATTCACGATCTGAAACAGAGCTTGGTAACCAGGTCAGCCAACGAGGACTGTTTGGAAACTGAAACTAAGAGTAGTCTAGCCGTGGTTCTAAGCTCTGCAGCTCTGGAACTGTGAGTCTGTCGGTTGAAGATGAAACTAACTTGCTTGCTTGCTGAAGACTGAGCTCTGCTCTGAACTTGCAACATATTTCTTTTTGAGTTTGCTCCACGTTGGAGAAACCTACAACTGGTTTGTAAAATCTACTGATGTTTATAAAGATGTTACATGAAGCATCAGCCCTCTGTGTTTATTTTTCTGGCGCTGAATTATCGCTGCAAAACTCTCGATAAATATTTATAGCTCCGGTTGAGCTGTGGGGGTCCTTGGTGCTTGGGGTTTTTTTGTGCAGACTTTTCGTGACCCAACTAGGCAATGTTATCAGTGCTGGAAGGAAATGGGGTTTGCGAGGAGAAGGAGGGGAAGGGGGAGGAAGAAAGGGAGGAGGAGGACCGCTGGGTTCTTGGTTCTCTCAGCTGGGCTGTTTCCATGCAGACATTTCACGACCCAGCTAGGGAACACCATCAGTGCCGATGAGTGTGCCTTGCTCCCTGTTCATATAGGCCAGAGTTCAGGTCCCGAATGCCGGGAGCGGGCGAGAAAGGAGGAACGAGACCTGCCTGCTACTCCTTCCCAGTAGGCATGCAAAGCCGTTGGCAGGGCTCGTCCTGGTTTTACTTACTCCTTCTGAGTAGGAAGGGAGAAGCTCCCCATTGCTTTGACCCGAGGAGTACAGATTGACGTATTCACCCTCCCTGGCTACCTCGCCAACGTGGTCACTCTACAGAGACAGAAGGGAAGGGAAGCAAAGGGGTGATCCCACCTGGGGGGATGGACCCAGCACTCCCCAGAAAAGCACGGCGGGACAGGTAGGCTCACCGGAACATTCTCTAGCTATTCAGAGGGGGCAGGAGGGAGGGACCTATGCGACATTCGAGACAGGCCCTCACCCACCTGATGAAAATCGTCCTCCCAATTATTATTATTATTATTATTTTTAAAAAGGATAACCGTTGTTCTCCAAACAATGCTAGCAAAACCCTGGAGGGGCTGCTTAGAACAATTCCCTAAAAGCCACAGGGCCCCCTCCTAATAATAGAGCCAGTTTGATCCAATGGTTAAGGCACCAAACTAGAAAGTAGAAGATGTGAATTCTAGTTCCACTTTAACCACGAAAGGCAGCTGAGTGACGCTGAGCCAATCAATCCCCAGGAGATGGTGAGTTCTAGTCCTGCCTTAGCCACGAAAGGTAGCTGGGTGACTTTGGGCCAGCCACTTTCTCTCAGCCCTAGGAAGGAGGCAATGGGTAAGCCAACTACGACTGGGTCCCCCATCCCCACCCAAGGTGAGCTCGGGCCCCATCCGGTTTTCTCACCGAAGACTTCTGGAGATGTTCGGTGAAAGAGGATTCAGAAGGGAGTGAGACAGAAGCAGTCTTGTCTTGAGAAGAAGAGGAGGAGGAGGAGGAAGAGGAGGAGGAGGAAGAAGAAGATGGCCGCTCCGTGGTGCCAAGGGGCTGGCCAGATGTGGCTGGTGCCGCCGGCGGGTCCGAATTCGGAGCCTGGTGTGCAGGTGGAAAAGCCTGAGGAGAGGGTGCAGCGGCCAAAGTAGAGGAAAGAAAGGGAGGGATGGCGGGAACTGGGCCCCGAGGCACGAAGTCTTGGGAGAAAGACCTGAAGACGGATTTGTACTGGGGGGAAACGGGACGAGGGTGAAGCGGAAAGGGCGAGGGGGAGAAAATGGCAGCAAGTCAACGAGAAAGGGTAGCGTTGAAGGGGAGGGGAGGAGGGGAGGAGAGAAAAAGAAAGAGAGAGAGAGAGAGAAGGAATTAGAACAACGTACACAGTCGCTCAGTTGGCTTCCCCGTTGGGGAAACTCCCTTGGCTAAGAATCCGGAGCAGGCCAAAGCCAGGAACGAGAAGGGAGCTGGATTCTCCCTCCTGGGGTGGGGGAAAAAAGGACGACATTCCGATAGGAAATCTAGAAGGGAGGGCGAAAACAGAAAAGGGCCTTTGGCAGGTGGTTCCCCACTTGCAAGGGGCAGGAGGCCCGGGCCAGGCACGATGCAAACGGCTCGCGAATGCACTCGACGCCGGGTGAGAAGTCCACCCCTTGCTTCCTCCCTCCACGCTGGAAGGAAGATCTCCCCGTTTCAAGGATTCGGCACCGTGTGATCAAAAGCATCCCTGGCACGGCAACTGCCGCCATGCACACACACCCCTGACCTAACCAAATCCACGACGATTGGAAGAATCTCGTCGAAATCTTCCTTACCGCCTCCTTTTAGTTTGATGGAGAACATCTAGCACTGATGTGGTTACCTAGTTGGGTCATGAAATGTCTGCATGGAAACAGAGCAGCTCAGAGAGCACCAAGGACCCCACAGTCTTTTTCTTCCTCCTCCTTCTCCTCCTCCCCTCCACCTCCTCATCTTCCCGCCCCCTCCTCCTCCTCCATCCCATTCTGTTCTGGCGCTGATGAGATTACCTAGTTGGGTCATGAAATGTCTGCAAGAAAATAAGCAAACTCAGAGAGCACCAAAGACCATCCTCCTCCTCCTCCCTTCCACCCACTACCTTCTAGCACTGAGGAGGTTACCTAGTAGGGTCATGAGACGTCTGCCCGAAAACGACCCAGCTCAGAGAGCACCCAAGAACCCCACAGATTGGGACCTTCTCCGCAGATGGGCTCCAGCGGAGTCCAAAAGTTTGGGAGAATAAACCCAATGGTCCCGGTGACGCACTCAAGGTCGAGATCCCGCAAGGTTATCCTGGGACACACGTTGCGTTTGCCTCCGTTCATCATAAAGACAAGTCGACAAGCGGAAAGAGCGAGAGGAAGCAAGCTGCGAAAGGCAAGGCGTTCCGTTAGTAACTCACCGAGTGCGCGGGAAAGGAACTGTTCTGCTGGAGGAAGGAGTTAGAGACGGACACGGTGAGGGCCTGGCCTGTGCCCGCCTCCTCCTCGGAGGCCAGGGGGCCCTTAGATGGCTGGACACAGTAGGAGACAGAAGAGAAGGGAGCAGGGAAAATAGCCTGTTGGAAGGAGAGAAAGAAAAGGAGCGAGGGAGAAAGACGAAAGGAAGAGAGAGAGAGAAAAAAAGAACAACCTACATCGATGGGAGATGAACCCAGGGCCTGCCTTGGGGTGGGGTTGGACTAGAAAGCCTCTTAAGGTCCCGTCCAAGTGCTTCGGTGCTGGATTCTCCTCCTATCCAAATACAGGCAGTCTTCAACCTACATCAGTTTGTTTAGTGACGGTGAATAACAGAGTCGGAGGGGAGGTCTTCTAGTAGTCCAATCCCCTGCTTAAGTAGTCCTCGAACTTACAACCGTTCAAAGTTACGACGGCGGCACTGGGGGAAAAAAGCGTGATCCCCTTTGGCTGGGACTCACTCATCAACGGTGGCGAGAAAGGTTGTAAAAGGGCGAGAGCGAAACTCACTTGGGAACCGCCCCACTGAAGCAACCGAAACGTTGGGCCGATTGGGGTCATTAAGGCAAAGACCCCCCGTGCGTGGAGAGAGTTGGGACGCCAGCCCCCGCATGCAGGCCAAGGGCCCAATTGTTTCATATTTGCTTTCAGGAAACGTGGCGAGAAGCGAAAGGGGAAGGGCTAAACATCTGAGGATTTTTCTCCCCCCAAAAACAGGGAAAAGGAAAATAAAACCAACAAAAAAAGAGAGAGACTGAAATTCAGGAAAAAAACAAAAACGAAACAAAAGCAAAACCCCAATGGAATAAAACAGAAAAGGGAGCAGGCAGGCGGTAGAAGGCGAGAGAAGAAACAGAGGAACAAAAACGCTTCAATGCCAACGCCACACCGCTGGGGAAACTGAGGCAGGGAATAACGCCTCCTGGTTAATGACACCCCGGTGCATATACACAGTTGATAAACATTTAGATGTGTAACGGTTATTGCACAAACACACATGTATCCATTATACAGGATATATAGACAAATGCACACACACATATTATATAATAGGTACATCATCACAGTTATTGCACAAACACACGTATCTATCTATTATAAAAGACCTTCAAGGTCCCTGTTATACTCTAGGTCAGTTCTGGAGGTGGAACTTAGAAGAAGGCACCAGCTGAGGATGGACCAGGAACATTCCCTACAACCAAGTGTAATAAAACAGCGCTCACCCTTTCCTGGAACAAAAGCCACAATAATCACACTGGATTTGGACCACGGACCAAAACAGAGGCTCCGTATCTCTTAGGGTGGGCGAGAAGGAACTGAACCAAGATGGAGCAGAAGAGGAGGAAGAAGAGGAAGAGGAGGACTCACCAGTTGTCTCTGTTTGGGTGGGAGAGCTGGAGGCGGGGCCAGATCCTGGCCTGTGCTGCTGAAGGAATCACTGAACCCATAAACCTCCATCAGGTGCTTATTCTTCTGCTGGTAGATGTGTTCGTTCTGCGGGGTTTGGTAGAACATGGAAGGCTGAGGTTCGGAGTAGTCTTCCACGAACTGCATATAGGCCAACACTGCAAGAGAGAATGGACACGAGTGTGTGTTTGTGTGTGTGTGGGGGGGGTTCACCTTCTTGGTGAGGTGCTTGGAGAAACCTCCTCTTCTACATCCCCGGGTTGGTTGGAGGGATTCACAGAAGAAAGACGTGAAATTAAGAAGATGACTTTGAAGGCTTAACCTAGGATGACCCGGACGTTGTGTGGAATACAGAAGCAACGAAGTCACAAAAACGGGTGAAGTCCCTTTAATCCCTTCAACTTGGCTTCAAAGCTCGTGTTATCCTTGACTGGAGAAGAAACTCCCCCACAAACAGTTGTGAAAGGGAAGAACTGCCGTTCAAACTCAAAACACACATAAATAGAAAAAAACTACACAAACCACACGGAAGCAATTTAGGAGACACGGCAGGATAAGGGCTCGAAGACGTCCACTGATATCGAAATACACACACTGGGAAGGACGCCAGAACTCAGATAAGCAATGAAAGACTAGAATTATTTCACGCTTTGCTTCCAGCACTGGGCCATGCGCAGTTGGTCCTTTTAAACAGTCCTCACAGCTACAGCCCGTGAAGGGGATCGGGGCCCCTTCCTCCCCCGTAGACTACACCATTCACATTTCTCCCTTATCCTCTCCTCTCTGCGTGCCCTAGGATGAAGAGAGGACGGGCCTGGGTCTTCCTCTGACTGCCTAGTGCCCTGCCTGTGCCCTTCCCCAGGTTCCTCCACAACTTCCGGAGCCACACCTCCACTCCCTATCGGCTGTTCCTCCTCTCCCTCGGAGTCAGACTCCAACAGAGGCATGACATAACCATAGTTCCAAGTGTGACCATCTTAGACCAGTCTTTTCTTCACCCATGCACACTGTTTTAGGTACCTTCTGTGGCCATGGACCCCCCAAGACTTGAACTCAAGATTTTAAATCATAACATGTGTTCAAGTCTTCCTGGATCCACTGTGATGAGCCCCCAGGTTGAGGACCCATTGTCCTGGACCAAATCCAAAACCACAAAGGAATTCCTGCGGGCTTGATACACTCAGGCAAACCAGCAATCAACAGGCATGGTGAGATAAGCAACTTGTAGACACCATTCAAAAAAAAAAAGACGATCAAAAAGCCCAAAAGGAAACAGAAAGATCAACATATCTTACCAGCAATCAACATCCAGGTGACCAACAATCCAAAAATCAGCAATACCCCAAGCAAGAAACTTGACAACTCGGATAAAGAAGCAAGATCAATGAGAAATCCAGATTCATTTAACAACCGGGTTACTAACTTCACAAATGCAAGGATTCAATTAACAACTTTGACAAGCAAAGGTGTAAACGTTAACACCTTTTTCACTTAGCAACCTACATTTTGGGCCCAATTGGGGGCGTAACTCGAGGACTACCAGCAATAATAAAGGCAAATCAGACTCAGCCAGTCCAACATAAATATCCCTCAATTGCTCAACTCTTAACCCAGAGGGCAAAATTCTTATCCGGACTTCTAAAACAGACTCAACTTTCCTGTTCCTTTTTTTGTGTGTGCGTGTGTGAGAGAGAGTATCCAAAAAGTGCTAAGTCAGCAATCTAAACAAATCAGGATTAAGTGAGAGTCGCCATGTGATTAAACCAACAGCTGGGCAGAAAGAGGAAAAAGCAAATTTGGGTGCCGAGTGCCAAAAAACGACACTAAACCAACATTTTTTTAAAAAACACACACACACACAAAAAAAACCAAAGTCCTTGGTAAACCATACGATCTTCGATCTTCTTCGTGTTTCTTGGGAGGGAAATTCTTTAAAAGCCAACCGCTGTTTTTAAGCCTGTTGATGTTGGGAGAATTACTCAGAACTTGGTGGTGAATCATAGGTTTGCCTAGTTTAATTCTGCCACTTTTGCAGGGGGTGGGGAAGTCCCCCCCCCGTTGTGGTTTTGAAGACATGCAGCCGGCAGGAACTGTGGGGTGACACTGTGAAGAGCCGGCTGTCCTGCGATGGGAAGTGGAAGAGAAACTCAGCGGGGAGGGTTGAGGGTTGAAACGCTTTAGATTAAGACTTAATTCTTTCTTGCGTATCTCTTCATGATAGGGTGACTATGTTGGGTGGACTCACTGCCCTACAGTGGAAAGTAGAAGAATAACGGGGCTGGAAGAGACCTTGGAGGTCTTCTAGCCCAACCCTCTGCCTAGGCAGGAAACACTACACTACTTCAGACAAAGGGTTAGCCAACGTTTTTTTAAAAAAAACCTCCAGTGTTGGAGCATCCACAACTTCTGGAGTTAAGTGGTTTCTCTGCTTATTTGTTCTCCCTGCCAGGAAATTCCTCCCTGGTTCCATGTTGCTTCCTTCCTCGGTTAATTTCCATCCGTTGTTTCTCCTCTTCGTTGTTTTGGTGCTTTGGAGAATAACTTGACCGCCTCTTCTTTATGGCAGCCCCTCAAATATTGAAACCCTGCTGTTGTTATTGTGCAAAGCTGGGGGGGGCTCCCCTTGCGGTGGCTTTTAAAAGGAGAAAGGAAAAGAAAGGGAAGGGAAGGGAGGGGGAGGGAGGGAAGAAGGGAGGGAGGAAGAAAGGAAAGAAGGGGGGAAAGGCAAAGGAAGGAAAGGAGTAAAGAAAGTAAAAGGGAAGGAAGAAAGAGAGAAACGGAGGAAAAAAGGAGGGAAAGAAGGAAAGGAGAAAAGAAAGAAAAAGGGAAGGAAGGAAAAGAGAGAAACGGAGGAAAAAAGGAGGGAAAGAAGGAAAGGAGAAAAGAAAGAAAAAGGGAACGAAGGAAAAGAGAAAAGGAAAAAAGGAGGAAAAGAAGGAAAGGAGAAAAGAAAGAAAAAGGGAAGGAAGGAAGGAAGAAAAGGAGGAAAAAAGGAGGAAAGAAAGGAAAGGAGAAAAAGAAAAAGGGAAGGAAGAAAGGAAGAAAGAGAGAAAAGGAGGAAAAAAGGAGGAAAGGAAAAGGGAAGAAATCAGAAGCAATTTTATATTTTCTTCTTTTTTTTGGCTTGGTCTTTTTCTGGGGTTTTTGCCTTCTCCTCTCTTTATCCTAAATCCTCCTTTATCCTAAACATTACTTCCCGTTAGATTTTAGTCTTCCTTTTTGAACGTTTTTAATACGGTTATGTTAAAAATAAAAAACCCCGAGCAGAGGAGGGAGCCCTTACTGTGTTTGTTCTTCTTCTCGGGCAGGGGTGGAGGCTCCTCGGAGTCTCTGGGCGCGTTGGGGCTGGAGAAATCAGCCAGGAATTCCACGGGGGGCCCCGGCTTTCCAGGCTGATAGGGCAGGACAGCCGCAAAAGGGGTGAAGACCCAGGGCAGGAGGGGCGGGACGCTTAAGTCCTCCTCCGAAATATTGTCGTACTGCGAAGGGTGCCTCTCCAGGAGGACCCGGCAACCGGAGACGTCGAAGGAGGAAGCCGGCGTCCCTCTCCGCTTCTTCTCGGGAAGAGCTGGGGGGACCTCGACCGCCGGAGCTGCGGCTGGGGAGACACAATTCTCTGGAAGTTGGAAAGGCGGTCCAAGAAACGGAGAGGCGGATTCCCGCAGGCCCTCTGGCAAAGGGCTGAGCACCCCGAGTCCCGGCTGGGGGATCTGGTCCGTGTTCGAGAGATCTTGCTGCAGGAACTCGTAATCAGGATCGTAATGATCTACAGGAAAGAGAGCGAGAAACGCTATATGAGGAACGGAGGAGTTGGAAGGGACAGTTTTACTTATTCCCAGGGACATTCAGCTGTGTCTTTACTCCCGTGTCGGCAGCCCTTGTTCCTTAACTGTTCCCTTCTTCTGGCAGCTCTGTGCATGCGCACACTGGGAACAGGCTCCAGCTGTTCTTCTTCCCCACTGATCTCTGACTGCAAAGGCAGCTGAACCTGATACTCGTGACGGGTGGGAGTTGAACCGGCGATCGCACCTCTCAGCCCAGGGCAGCCCCACGCTGAGCCCCTCGGCAGCCCAGCAGACTCCCCACCTCCTTACCTAACGTTTCACAGCTTGTGTTGTGCGAGCACTGCCCACTGTCGCAATCCAAGGAGGAGAGCTGTTCGTCCGACTTGCTTAGCTTCCCCATGCTGCTGTAGGGCGAGAGGCGGGGAGATTCCCCTCCGTAGGACTGGCTGCCCCCCGACAGCCTCCGTTGGGGGTAGCAATCGTTTTCAAACTCCTGTGGGTGGGAGGGAGAAGCGGTCCAGGCAGAGTCAACTGTTGCCCTAATTAAACCACGAGCCTCAAGCCAAGGATTGATTAGGGGTGAACTTGTCGGCACGGCCTGTGTCTTTATAAACAACCCACCTTGGAATTAAACAAGATGGCTGCCCTGCCGAAAACTCCCCAATCGCCTCTTTCAGAATAGGGGAAACGGACAGGTACATTTCAAGCCTCTGAATCCAGGAAGGGAAACGATCTCAAATTTGGACGGACTTCTGTACAAGTGGAGTCCTTGACTTACAACCGCAACGGAGCCCCCAAAATTTCTGGGCCAAGCAAGAAGGTGGACGGGTGAGTTTTGCCCCATTTCGCAACCTTCCTTGCAACTTGTCGTTAAGTGAATCCCTGCAGCGAAGTCAGTAACCCGGTTGTTAAGCGAATCTGGCTTTCTCTTGGCTCCGCTTGCTCAGAAGGTTGCAAAAGGAGGAACGCTTGACTCAACCAACCCACCCCCACGGGAACGTGGCAACCGTCATAAATATGAGCCACTTGCCAAGTGTCCGAATTTGGATCCCGTGGCCATGGGGATGTTGCAGCGTGAAAAATGGCCGTAAGTCATTTCTTTTCCAGGGTTGCTGCACGGACGGTCACTAAATCAACTGTAAGTTAAGGACCACCTGTGATAAGGAGGTTTATAAAGGGACACCCCATCCTATCTGGATAGCTTCTGGGTCAGACAGGGCTGGTACTTTACCTGTTTGTTGATCCCAATGGGTAAACTGGAGCCACTGGTTGCTCGGCTCATGGGGGCTACGATAGCCACTCGTGTAGGGGAGGGTACCGACTGGCGTTTCTTAGGAGGCAGAGCTGGGGGGAGGCTGCACAAGGAGGAGGAAAATTGAGAATATTGTCGCTAAAGTGAAATGTTCTGACCCAGGTCCCCCAAGTCGGTGCCTTTACCTGTTTTCCGCCACTCGAATGCAAGGAAGGGGCGGTTTGGGTGGGGCGATCTCTTCGTCTGCGGCATCAGCCGGCACTTCTGCGGTCGGAGTCTTCCCGGCCGTCTTGTTGAGGATCTCCATCTCCCGATCCGTCAAGGGAAGCTCCAACTGGCTGGAGAGGGGGAGACAATCAACAGACATGACAGATGGATGGATAGATGGATAATAGACGCAGAAACAGACAGACATCAAAGGAAATAAGAGGTAGGAGAGCTGGTTGCCAGGCACTTCAGACTGACTGATGCCTCCCTTTTGTGAAACCGCCCACGAGGAGGTTGTATCCCTGGAGGCCCTCAGAACAACTCCAACTCTTGGAAAGAAAGATCTCTGAACTTTTTGTCCACTCACCTGTCTTCTGTAGACACAGGTAAGGTGGGCTTGACAGGGCTGGTGGGAGATGGGCGCTCCTGCTTCTCGATTGTGAGCTTCACCAGCTCCTGGTTATCAACAGAACACAAGTCAACCCCCAACTCTTCTTTTCTTGAGACTAGCCAGAGCCAAATCACGCAGCCATTTTTCCTGTGGTTTAGTCTCCAGGCCTTTGATCTCAACGTCGTTTTTTTGTAATTTGTGGTGAGCAAAACTGGTTGCAGTGTATTCCAGGTGTGGCCTTACTAGGGTTTTGTAAAGCGGCACTAATACTTCACGTGATCTTGATTCTATGCTTCTGTTTACACAACCCAGGATTGCATTAATTTTTATGGCTGCTCCTCTCAACCATTCATCATACAATTTAGCCTTCAGACCCTTTATTGCCTTTGTTGGTCCTTACACACTAACTCTACAAGGGGCTCATGGGGCGTGTTGTTGCCCGCTAGCGGAGCTGGCACCAGACTCGGACAGTGAGGAGGTTGGGGAGGGACATGGGCCAGTCCTGGAGTCTGGGAAGGCTCGGACGAGGGCTCTGCGTCGGAGGCGGAGATGGGGCCAGGGCCCTCCGACAGTTATCAGCTGCCGTCGAAGATCAGTGGGGAAGAAGAACAGCCGGAGCCTGTTCCCAGTGTGCACATGCGCAGAGCTGCCAGGAGAAGGGAACAGCTAAGGAACAAGGGTCAACTCAGGAGTAAAGGCTCAGGTGGATGGCCCCTCCCAGGGGGAATAAAGGGGAGTGAAAGGGGAGTGGGGCTTTGCAGGAGACAATTAGTTTGATTCATGAGGGTGAAGTTCCTGACTTCTTGCTGCTATAGTGTGGTGTTTGGAAGAGATTGGCCTGGCAGCTCTCCAAGCCTGATAAAGGTCTGTGAAATCTCATGAAAGACCATTGGCCAAGACTTTGCTGGAGAGGAATTCCCTTTACAGCCTAAATAAAAGGGGTTTTAAGCAAGACCCATACCTTAACTCCATCCAGAACTGCCTTGATAACCCCCTTAACTGTATTCACCACTTCTTTGTCTTCAGCGTTGATGCCTTCCAGCATCACTTGATCGGACCATCGGATTAAATTTCCCAAGCTCTGATACACGCGGCTGTAACAGGAAGTGATGGCAGAACTGCAGAAGTGGAAAGAAGGAGAAGAGGTCAGAAGGAAGAAGAGGCGGGGAGAGTCCGGCCTTAAGTAAAGAATTGTCAGAAGTCAGCAAGGCGCCGCAACTAAACATTCCTTCCTTCATAAAGGCCATTCTCTCTCTCTCTCTTTTGGGGAGTACCATTTAGCTTATTCCAGTGGTCTCCAAACTTTAAGACGGGTGGACTTCGACTCCCAGAATTCTCCAGCCAGGAGCTTTAGAGAAGAAGTAAACCCCTTCTTCTATTTGACAGTCCCTCAATCATCATATTTCTCCTAATTGTTTTCTTCGATAGGCTAGATTGGTGCCCCGAGCTCCCTCAATCATTCACCCTAATCGTTCGAGGAAGGGACTGCCCAACAGCTACCAAATTCTCCATCCAAGCTGCACAACGAGCACCTCAATCTCCGTCGCAGACGTTGAGGGAAAGGACGGACTGCCCAATTAGCACCCAACTCGCAGTCCAACTTACTCAACCCCTTGCGTCCTGACTCACCTCTGCTGAATCCGTGGGTCCGTCTGAACCAGAGGCAAGATGGCTTCCAGAACTTTGCTGGCTGATCCTGGCAACATCTCCAACACCTTGTTATCAATGGCCATTTTGTCCACAATGGTCTTAAAGTAGCGCAGGGCACTCACTACGTCCTTCTCCTTCTCTTCCAGCCAGCTTAAGTTCTGAGACAGAAAGACCCCTTTTACAAAGCTTCCTATCGGCCCGGATAGCTACAAGACAGGCAAATTCTTCCCCAACCACCCATCCATTCTGCTCATCCATCCGTTGATCCATCTTCATTCAGTCTGTCTTATTAATCCATCCGTCCATTCTGTCAATCCATCGATCCATCATCTATACCCATTCATTTTATAGATCTATTCGTAGAATAGGACAGAATTCTTTATTGGCCAAGTGGGACGGGATGTACCAGAAATTTGTCTCCGTTGCATAAGCTCTTTTCACCTATCCAGCCATCCTTTTTATCTACCTCTCCATTCCACGCATCCATCCGTCCACTCTACTTATCCATCCATCCATCCACCCACCTTCCCATTAATTATATCTATTCATTTGGAAGTCAAATGGTTCTAAATTCTAAATGCCCCATTCTGAACCCACAAAAACAGTTCCTGAACTACAGCAGCTTTGGGCTCACCATTCCCAAAAGATCAATATGCCACTTCTGATGTTAAACCACTTCTAGAAACACGTTTTGGACAGAGAGGACCATTTAACAACCCTCTCTCAACAGAGGGGGAGGCGTAGGACTCCCACCTACCTCCTGTTTACAACACAATCCTCTCAGCAGTTCCAAGCGTCAGGGTTCCCACAATTGCCCTAATTAAATCATAAACTTGAGCCAGCTTCAAACTAATCCAAAAGATTTATTAGGGGCAACATAACCAGTATGAAGCCCACTCTGAGACACGTAATTTACTATCCCCTATGACCCTGTTTCCCTCCAGCCCCCTGGGTGTGTCATGAATCAGATTCTCCAACCATTCACGGGCTGGGTGTCATCAATCACATTCTCCAATGAAGGATTTTCCCAGGCAGAAGATCCAGTAGCCATGGCTACAATCTCCACAAGGTAAGCGTGGAATGTGCTTCTGGCCTTCACCTGCTGCACTGCTCCCTCAGGCCTCTCCCCCCTCCCTTCTTATGGCAACTCGAAAACAGGCATAGGAATGATTTACGAGTTGACACCAAGAACGTCCCACACCCATTTGCACTATTCAGGCCACTGGAGGGCAGAGATAAGCCTCCGAGCGGCCTCACGGAAAGAGCACTAACGACCAGAGGATTGCAAGCAATATAAATCCTTACATCCTCCACCATTCAGTGAGAACTGAGGAAGCTTCTTGGACGGGAAGTGAAAGGTCTCCAAGGAAAAGCAAAGTCCAGAGGCCTTTTGAAAAAGCACCTTTCAGACAACCATGACCTGGATGACTTGAGAACCTCCACCGAGACTTCCAGAAACAGTTTTGCAAAGAAAACAGACCCTTTCCAATCAAAGAGATCCAAATTTGGAACAATTTGCAATCCGCTAGTGTGTGTTTTGAACGGAAGGCACAACACCCGGTTCATTTTCCCAGTAGATCAGTGGTTCGCAGTGTGACCTGCACCCTCCTTGCACACTGTTTTTCAGGTGAAGAAAGAGGTTGCACCTGTGAAAATAATACAAGACCGACTGTACAAATTTGGTGCCTTTTGTTCAAGAGGCCCCTACCTGGCTGGGAGAGAAGGGCAGTCGCGTGTCCTAGAGCGACCCCAGTCTAGGGAGGACGGAGGGAGGAAACGGCAAAGAATGATCTGGCTTCTGGCCCCACATTCAACCAAGAAACGGGTGTGAAAAAAAGGCTGACAAAAGCCATTTCCTCTCCAGCCAGCCTTGTGAGGTAGTCCAGGCAGGAAACATGATTGGGTGCCTAATTCTACTTTATTTTCAGGTTACTGAACAGAATCTTGCAAGTTGGAAAAACACATTTCTCCCCCAAATCCTGAGAAAGGCTCGTACTTCTGACCCTGTACGGGTAAACCCTCAACGTACGAACACAGCGGAGCCCGAAATTTCTGTTGCTAAGTGAGGTTTTGCCCCATTTTGTGACTTTTTGTGCCACTGTTGTTAAGGGCATCCCTGCCGTTGTTAAGTTAGTCACACACTGTTGTTAAGTGATTTCTCTGGTTTCTCTCTCTCTCTTTCACACACACACACACTGGGACATTGTGGCTGTCATAAATATGAACCAGAATCCAAATCTTGTTGGGATGCTATCCTGGTCATTAAGTGTGAAAAGCAGCTTCCCCCTCCACTGCCCTTGTAATTTTGGTCACTAAACGAATGGTTGTAAGTCAAGGACCCTCTGCAAACGGAGGCTGTTCTGGTTGTTTTCTGCATCGCTCCACCTCGACGTGAGAAACTGGAGAGAGAGAGAACCATCGCAGTTCTGCGTCCGCTGCACTGAATTTCCAAGAACGCCGCTTCCCTCTGGCCAAACTCTCCAGCCGGTCATGCGTTAAGAAACAGCCATCACCCAAATGCCACGAAATGCCCCATCTGGACTCCGTGAGGGACAGTATCAGGACAGGCAGATAGGGGTTGAGCTGGAAAGTGGAGCTGGAAGTTGGAAGTCGTTCCTTTTTCTCTCTCTCTCTCTCTCCCTTTTCCTCTTCACTTCTTCCCTCCTTCTTCTCCTTCCCCCAACCTGCTCAGTCAGGAAACCCTACAGCATTTCAGACATAAGGTTGGTCCAGTCTCTTCTTAAAAGCTTCCAGCGTTGGAGCGTTCACAACTTCTAGAGACAAATCGTTCCGCTGATTAATAGTTCTCACTGTCAGGAAATCCCTCCTTAATTCTACGTTGCTTCTCTCCTTTGTTCGTTTCCCTCCGTTGCTTCTTGTCCTGCCTTCTGAAGGTGCTTTGGAGAATAGCTTGACTCCCTCTTCTTTGGGGCAGCCCCTCAGATACTGGAAGGCTGCTATCATGTCCCCCTCTGGTCCTTCTTTTCATCAAACTAGACGTAACCAATTCTGTAACCGCTCTTCAGATGTTTTAGCCTCCAGTCCCCCAGTCACCTTTGTGGCTCTTCTCTGCACTCTTTTTAGAGCCTCAACAACTTTTTTACATCATGACGACCAAAACTGGGCACAATATCCCAAGTGTGATCTTTCCAAGGCCTCATAAAGCGATGCTAACACTTCCCTTGATCTTGATTCTCTCTCTCTGTTAACGCAGCCTAGGATTACGTTGCCTTTTTTGGGGTGGCCGCAGCACCCGGCGGGCTCATACTTACGGTGATCCATTAGGGCATCTAGATCCCTTCAATAAAGTTCAATAAAAAGCAATTTAAAAAATATTGAGTCAGGCCAGGGTTCTGAAAACAAATGCAAGAAAATTACTGTGTGGTTAAGCATCTTTGCAGCTTTTTCCCGGCACTAACAACCTGACCCCCTGACCTGTTGTTAACCACCTCAGTAGCATCTCCTCCCACCGATTCAAGAGACAACTCAGGTTGTTAAAACGGATTAGGTTTCCAACTCCTCTGAGACCGATCTTTCAAAGAGAAAAAAAGAAAAACAGCTTGAGAGAAATGCTGGCTTTGTAAATAAAATCCGTTTGGCAAATGGCCCCCTTCTCCAGCAGGGCTTCGGCTGGCCGGGTCCATCAGAACACGGGGAGGGCCAGGACCGTCTCCAACGGACCCCCTCTGATTTATGTCTCAATTTAATTAAAATAAAACGCCTGGCGTGCAGTCACTGTCGCGACTTCCCGACCCCGGCCTGCCGTTTAATCATTTGATCACCTTGAAAATGGCCGTGACGTTTCGGATGGGCTTCGTTCAGTGAGGAAGAAAGCAATTTTAGAAGTTTATCTTCTCTCGGCTGTTAAATTTCCTTTCAACCAGGACTCCCTTATCCACGAAAAGCAGCACGCTTGGATTAGCCACGAAGAAACAGACGGTAGCCTCCAATAACGACAATAAGGCCTGTCCCTTTAGGGATTTTTCACTCCTCCTAGAATCATACAACCTAAGCTGGAAGGGATCTTGGAGGTCTTCTAGTCCAACCCCCTGCCCAAGTTAGGAGTCCTGATTTCACACACACACACACCCAGACAAATGGTTGCGCAATCTTTCCTTGAAAGCCTCCAGCGATGTCGCTGGATCCGCAACTAACTCCAACAGGCAACTTGATCCCCTGTTCTCACCATCAGGAATTTCCTTCTTAGTTCCAGGTTGGACGTTCCTCCGAGGAGCTTCCATCCCCTCAGGTCCCCCGGAGAAGAGTTGGACCTCCTCCCCCTTCCCCGCGACGGCCCCTCGAGTATTGGAAGATGGCTACCATGTCACCCTTACGCCTGATCTGGTTGGAAAATTGTAGGTGGAGCCATAGACCAGGAAGGGGATAAGAAGTTGGAAGTCTCCAAGGTCCTGAAATCTATGGTCCTTCTTTGGATGGGCAGATAACTCCCACAATTCTCCAGTCTACAATGGCCACTGATGAGTCGAAGCTCCAAATAGAGGGAGAGGATGGGGAGGTTATCCATCCCATATTATTCAGGATGTACAGAAAATTACGGAGTTTTCCTCACCGAATGCTCATCTGCATTCAGCAACCGATACATCACCATCTTTTAACGGCCCTTTTACCCCTTGCAGGGCTCCTGGGCAGCTGAACGGAGCTAGCAGAGTGTTTTAATGGCCAGATGCCCTCCCTGTCGCCAACGCGGAGTTTTGTTCAGCAGGTAGGTTCTCATTGTGCTCAGAGAGAGAAATACCTGGCTCTACCTAGGATCGAACTCACAGCCTCCTGATTGTGAGGCGAGAGCTCCACCCCTAGGCACACCGCACCACTCCCATTCAACCACTGATACGACGAGGTAAATCCCCAGGGTGCTTTTTCAAAAGGCAATTTGGCTTTCTTTTGTTTCCTCTTTGAATATATTTCGCTTCTCACCCAAGAAGCTTCTTCGGTTCTGGCTGAACAGTGGAGAATGGAAAGATCTGTATCCCTTGCAGTCATCTGGTTGTTGGTGCTCTTTCTGAGGGTCGTTGAGGCTGCTCTGAGGGCAGAGATAAACCTCCAAGTGGCCTCAGCGACTCTCAAAAAGAGCGCGAATGACTAGATGGCGGCAAGAAATCCTTCCATCCTCCACCGTTCAGTCAGAACCGAAGAAGCTTCTCAGATGAGAAGCGAAAGGTTTAACGTTCGCTTAACGGCCGCCATGTTTGCTTAATGACAGTGGCATTCGCTTAACGGCTGCTGCAAAAGAGGTCATAAAGTCAGGCGGGGGTCACGGGATGATCTGTTTAATGACGGCCACGACTTACAACCGTATTCCCAGGCTCAATAACACGTCGTTGAGTGGAAGACCCCTCAACTAACTCACCTTGTTCACCGCCTTCTCGGGGGATTTCACCACGACGTCAGGCTGCTTTCCCTTCTTCGACGGCGTCCTTTTTATTTTGGGCGAGTGGAACTTGTCCTTCAGCTTCATGGTGAAGGAAGAGAGGTGAGACCGCTGAGAATCTAGCCAACAAAAACGAGAACAGAAGCACGGTTAAATACATTGCAGCAGACAACCCACGAGCCGTTGCACGAATAAGCCAGGATGTGCCTGACATCTGGGAGCATCAGGGTTAACAAACCTGATTTGCCAGGTGCTGAAATGCATCCAAGGCAACTGTTTAAAGTAGCTGCTTCCTCTCCTAAAGGTGCCTTTTCTTTCCCAAAAGGCAACTGATCTTTCTGGTTTTTCTTTGAAGACCTTTTACTTCTCACCTGAGAAGCGTCTTCGGTTCTGAACGGATGGAAGGACAAGCAGGAGACCCTACACCGTTTCTGACCATTGGCAGTCCAATTACTATTGGGCTCTCCCCTAACTCTTCCAGAAGTGAGTTTCCAACACACACATACACACACACACACACACACACACACACACACACACACACACGTGCACGTGTGTCTCTGGCACGCATGGACGGAAACCTTGCTAATTGTGTCTGTTTGGCTAAAGGCTGGGAGCCTTTGCCCAGCTGCCTTTAAACCACCTCCAACAGTTGAGTCACAGCCTTCGCGGAGGATCTAAAGTTTGTTTTGCCCTGAGCCAACACGTCCTTGACTTCTGACGAAAGGCGGGTGGGTGGGTGAGTAGGAAAATCAGCTGGTGATTTCCAGAGACGAGGACTGGGGGCCGTGGGAGGTGGAAGTGAGGGGGGAGAGAGAGAGAGAGAGAGAAGGGATTCGAAGCGGTTTGCCTCCTGACTGCTACCATCCATCATTCCTGGCTAACAGGATGGTGTCTGGTCGGGTACAAGTCTGTGGAATCCTTCCAGTGAAGTAAGTTATGCCAGAACATTACGCCTCTTGGAGGGAGGTTGCTGGGAAGTCACTGGATGAATTAGCGGCACAAATGAAAGGGAGGGAGGGAGGGAAAGGAGAAAGGGAAAGAGAGAGAGAGAGAAGGATCGGAGGAGGAAGAAGGGAGGAAGGAAAGGGAAAATGAGGAAAAAAGAAAGAAGGGAAGGGAAAGAAGGAAGGGGGAGAGAAAGGGAAAGAAAGCAAAGAGAGAAATAAGGAGAGGGAGGGAGGAAAGGAAGGGGAAAACAAGGAAAGAGAAAGGGAAGGAAAAAGGAAGGAGACAAAAGGAGAAAAGGAAAGAAACTAGAGAGAAAGAAAGAAGAGAGAAATCGGAGAAACAGGAAGGAAGGAAGGAAGGAAGGAAGGAAGGAAGGAAGGAAGGAAGGAAGGAAGGAAGGAAGGAAGATAAACACACACACACCCTAAGGGTTAAGGTTTGAATAAATAATAAATTGTCTTGGCTGGCAATCCCATTGATTTCTGAAATTTATACATAGCTTCCCGTTTCAAAAGGCCCCTGAGAACATTTAAAGAAGAAAATTGACAAACTGTGGATCGGGAGTACAAACCGAATGAATTTGTCAAAACGACAACAGTTCTTTTCACCTCTTTGGCCAAAAGAGGACACTCTACAGGATAGTCCTTGGCTTACGACCACAATTGAGCCTAAAATTTAAGTGGCTAAATGAGATTATTTGTTTATTGAATTTTGCCCCGTTCTACCACCTTTTCTTGCCACCGTTGTTAAGTCAATCCCTGCAGTTGTCCAGTGGGTCACATGGTTGTTAAATGAACCCGGCTTTCCCCATTTGACTTGGTCGCTAAAGGAGATGGGGATTTTGCAACCATCATAAACCACGAGTCAGTTGCCAAGCATCTGAATTATGATCATGTGACGCTATTTTCAGGGCCGTTGTAACTTTGAGCAGTCATTAAATGAACCATCACAATCAGCTGGGTTGTTTCACCATCATTTAGATTTATTGATTCCTCAGACGTGTTTCTACAGCTTTCCCAACTCCGGTTGCCGCCATATATTACGAAAAAAGAACATTCTGGAAAGGGTTTGCATTCCTCCCGCCACCCTCTTTTGTGGCGAGGAGGTTGGTTGACTTTCAAAGAAACCTTTCAAATGAAAACATCGAACTTTGAGGCTCTGTAGCGTAGATGGTTGTATGGATTTCCTGCCTGGAATTAATAGGAAATTATACAGTCAGATGAGGAGAATGAGGTTCTGGAGAACACAGGGAGGTCAATTGGATTGTCCATCTCGGCCTTTTGAAGGGCTGGACGACCCGTTGGAAATTGTCTCTGCTGCTCGAGGGGACGTGTGACCAACCTCATTAGAAGTCCTACTTTGACTACTGAAGCTGGGAAGGCTAATCTGGGAGGTCAGCGAGGAAAAAAGTCCCCGGAGAAGGCAGCCAGGGGCTACGGAATCAAGATCGATTTGAAAGAAATATGGAAGAGAACGGACAAGAAACAACGGACAATGGAAGCTCATCAGAGGGACGTCCAACTTCAAAATAAGGTGAAACTTCCTGAGAGTGAAAACTAATAATCAGTGGAACTGCTGGACTCCAGAAGTTGTGGCTGCTCCAACACTGGAAGGTTTTAATAAGAGACTGGACAGCCCTTTGTTTGGGATACTATCAGGAGACCTGCCTTGGGCCGCGAGTTGGACTAGAAGACCTCAAAGGTCCCTTCCAGCCCTGTGATCTCTTGAAATGTGTTCGGGAAGGGAAGAAGGAAGGAAAGGAAGGAGGAAGGGAGGAAAGAAGGGAAGGAAGGAAGGAGAGGAAAGGATGAAGGGATGGGGAAAAGAAGGAAGGAAGAGAAGGGAGGGGGGAAGGAAAGGAAAGGAAAGGAAGAAAGGAAGAGGAGGAAGGAAAGGAATGAAGGAAGGAAAGAAGGAAAGGAAGGAAGGAAGGAAGAGAAGGAAAGGAAAGGAAGGAGGGAGGAAAAGAAGGAAGGAAAGGAAAGGAAGGAAGGAAGGAAAGGAAGGAAGGAAAGGAAGGAAGGAAGGCCGTTGAAAGATATGGAAAAGAAGTCAAACAAGCGACTGAAACCAGGAATGCTTTGCCTGAAGACATGAAGATGGACCTAGAGATGTGATCACGGTGTCAACACCTGAAGGGCCACCTGCAGCTCGGGAGAGAAACCAGGCTGACGGATAACCTCAGGCTCTCGAACGAACGGCAGGACTCCCAAGTGCGTCCTCTGGGGAAGCCTGGCTGAGGAGCCTCTCTGTAAACCACAGAAGGTGACGCAGGTACTGAAGAATGCAGGGCCTCCAGGGGTTTGGAGGACAAGCACCAGCTTGAAGAGACACACCCTCCCAAAAAGTAGAATAGGAGCGCCTGGAGCTCATCCTTCTTTAGAATCTGGGCCTGGCTGGTCTAGGGAAGAGAAGGACCAGCGGAGACAGGAGGGCACCTTCCAATATTTGAGGGGCTGCCCCAGAGGAGGAAGAGGAAGAGGTCAAGCTATTCTCCAAAGCACCTGAAGGCCAGACAAGAAACAATGGATGGAAACTGATCCAGGAGAGATTCAACCTGGAAATAAGGAGGAATTTTCCGACCGTGAGAACAATCAACCGAAGTTGCCTTTAGAGGTTGTGGGAGCTTCATCCCTGGAAGGTTTCAAGAAGAGACTGGACTGCCCTCTGTCAGAAATGGTGTAGGGTCTCCTGCTTGGGCGGGGGCAGGGGGGGTTGGACTGGATGACCTACAAGGTCCCTTCCAGCTCTTGTTATTCTGTGAAGAATCTGCCTGGATCCCCCCGAGATGGAGGGAAAGCAGAGGGAAGAACGAACTGGATCCCCTCCTCCCCTTTGGAGACCCCTCCTCTTTGTCTTGGAGAACAAAACCTTGGTGTCACGATCTGGGATTTTCTATAACTGTTTACCTGTCGCCGAGGCAACGGGGGTGAGGTCATCGGTCCCTTTCAGTGGAAAAACACATGAGGGGGGGGGGGGGGGGGGGGGAGGAGCGGCTCTGGAGATCTCAGTCCCACCCAGGAGGTCCACAAGAATCCCGATTATTGCCCCGTTGAAGGAAGCGCTGAAGTTTCAGGAAAGTTTAAGGAAGGGTCTCCAACCTTGGCAACTTTTAAGACTTGTGGACTTCAACTCCCAGCAAACCTGGCTGAGGAATTCTGGGAGTTGAAGTCCACAAGTCTTAAAAGTTGCCAAGGTTGGAGACTCCTGGTTTGAGGGACGTCGTGGCTCAGGGGCTAAGACGCTGAGCTTGTCAATCAGAAAGGTTGGCAGTTTGGCGGTTCGAATCCCCAGCGCTGTGTCACGGAGTGAGCTCCCATTCCTTGTCCCAGTAGCTTCTAGCAGCAACCTAGCCGTTTGAGAGCAGGTAAAAATGCAGGTAGAAAAATAGGGACCCCCTTTGGTGGGAAGGGAAGAACATTCGGTGCACCTTCTGGTGTTTAGTAGTCATGGACCACAGAGGCGTCTTCTTCGGCTTTGGAATGGAACTGAGCACCGCTGAACAAGAGGATTTGGTCACCGGATCTTAGCACATTCCTATCCACAGTCCTGTACAATTGAGCCCAAAATGTCTGGCCATGAGGGTTTGTTGGCACTCCTGTTAGGCTAGAACAATCCAGGCATGGTTAAGACTGATTTTAAGCCTACGGTAAGGAGGCAGTCTATGATTTACTGCTGGGTTACCATCTCTCTCCACTGAGTGTGGTTGAACATTAAATCACTCCTGATGGGACACAGCACAGCTCACCCTCTAAGGAAGTTGTCTGTTGTCTCTACTCTGGATGTGGCGCCTTCCCCTTTTGGGGTGGCCTGCTTGGAACTGGGAGGAGGAGGAGGAGGAGGAAGAGGAGAGTAACTCTTCTAAGCTTGTAAGTAGACTTCTTTGGTTGCCCAAGAGTTATGACTCCTGCCAATGTGAGTCACTCAAATAAGAAAACCAGGAGAAGACCTCCCCATTAATATACCACTAACAATAAGCGTGTTCCTGGTGAAGGAGCAAAGAAGAGAAGACACAATAGCTGTCTTCAACCATCTAAAAGATTGTCATGGAGAAGACAGGGTAGAATTGTTCAACGTCACTGGAAAAAAAACAGGAGGAGCTTCAATAACAAGGAGGCCCATTTGGGTGGAACATCTGGAGAAGTTACTTCTGTTCATCAATGGAACA